TTTGTGGTCATTTTCCCAGGGGCCCCAGGCTTGGATGCCCCCATTACTCAACAACCGGACACCTGCCAGCTAACACCACAGAATGGATAATATCTTCCAATGTGCCAATTAGTACCATTGTTTTGAACTAACCTTATCTGATTTTTCAGACATTTCTTTGCTGTATTTATGTGGTATATGTTTAACACACACATCTTTGAACTCAGCAAATGCATCAAAATAGTCAGATAATATCCTCGACACCAGAACAGTATAATTGAGCCTCTGCTGTCTTTGATCAACAACACTGGGAAGGAAAATGATGTTTGGTATATCATAAATATCAGCTTTTGGTCCTTTGGATGACAAATGGTTGCCAGACACCCTATTCTCAATCATAACATGATTTACCCAGTGTATGTCCCTGTTTTGTGATGTCATTGTCATATTTCTTCTTTTCAGATGAAAGTCAATATTGTCAAAAGCAATCAAAAAACCAGGGTGACATTTTCTTTGTGCATCCTTCAACTCAGTGGCGGCTTTCTTAAGCTTAGATGAAACAGATTCTTGCTGATGATCATGTTTAGATTCCACGTCTTGCTCAGCCAAAATTGTTTTCAACTCATTAACTTCCTGTTTTTTCTTCTCTATTGCTTTATGTTCATTGACTATTATGTCCTTGACTTCATGCAGACGGATATCATGAGACTGGCCAATTGCTTCTAGCTTTAATAAGGTACGATAATTTGATGTAGCAAGCTTCAACTTACTAAATCTGTTCAGGGTTGCCTATAACAAAAAAAAACAAAATCCAGTTTTAGAAAGCTTAACTTAGATATGCAACTCAGATTTAATATCACAGATGAGGATACAAACTGAGGTAAAAATGCTGCTGTTTGACTGTGCAATTAGCGAAGGATAAATTATGAAAACAGGATTGAACCATGTTTACTCACATTATTCACAGCTGTCAACAATATTGAACAACATTGTTACACCCGGATTCAGATTCAACAATATTGTTCAGCAAAACATTGTTCAGTCATGTTAAAAAGCAGGCGGTTATCATTCCATGTTTCACGCACCAATATAGGTTAGGTATTAAGGTTAGGGGTTAAGTTTAAGGTTGGGGTTAGGGTGTGTTATATGTGTATGGAGGTATCTAGTGAACTTTTCAGTACACTATAATATCCATTACATAACGTTTACTATATTGGTGCGCGAAACATGGAACAATTACCCAGCAGGATCATAAGTTTTATGCCTGTACTCTCTGCTACAGGCTAGTAATATAACACCATGTGATCCAGGCTAGGAGTAGGAATATACTGTACATGTAGAACATTATTAGGGACTTTAATTGGGGGGCTCTCTTTGTGCAACCTAGCTTGTGTTTTAAAAAATATTCTTATAGTTATATGAACAGGAGTGCAGATACACTAATACAGTAACACATCCTGAAATTGTTTTTATCCAGAGCGAATGGTACAGTAGAATAGTAGATATATAGGGTGAAGATATTAAAAAAGATTTATAGCCAAACTCTGATATGCATAAAACAAAATATTTATAATATACATATAAAAATCCAAGTTCATACCTCGATAGACTTTGTTTTCAAAAGTAATCCAATGACAATGGCTGTTGCACTCATATGGTTATTACGCTGCTTCAAGAGTATAGATCCTGATACGGCAATACTTGGGAACCATGTACTATGATGAATGTGACGTTTTGAGGTACTACATGTTAAAAGGAATGCATAAAATATTGGGGCTCTTCTTTTCCATTCTTCACACAATTTAAGCATATCATAGTTTATAAGGTCATCCTTTTCATTTTTTCTTAACAGGGAGGGATCTCTTTTAGAACACAAGTTGTCCACTTCGTTGGAAACAGCACGCAACACCTGTTCAATCACAAGCGTTCTGATGGATTCGCATTTAAAAACTGCCTTGGCAATTCTCGAAGGAGGACCATGGACTATTGCTTTTCCAATACCTTCGAACTCTGATGTGAGGGTTTTATTGACAGTCTTACTAGGATATTCCACTGTTATTGTAACGTTCGTATTGGTTTTGTTTAACGAATTTTTCTCGCGGGAAGGTTTAGTGACTGGGGTACTTGAAGTAAACAGATGTCGAGATAATATTTGACCAGTTGATATACTAGGCTGAGCAGGCAAACCAAATGCGTTGTAAACAAGTTGTAGTGGACCATTGTAGTACTGCGGCAAAGGACTGACAAGATTTGTATCACCGGTAGGAGTGGAAATATAGGAAACACATTTGGTAGGTTCTCCCACGACTTGATTGTCAAATTTCAGTTGTTTCCCATGTGACGTCTTGCTTAGAGGTTCTTGTTGAATACTCGATGTTTCAGCAGATCGATGTTGCCTTTTAAATCGTCGATAGCAACTTACTGCTGTGTAAATTTCCTTTAGTTCCTTCTTCAATTTTTCAACATTGGTTACAGCCTTATCGTACTTAAGTAAATGTTTGTAACACTTCATGCATATGAAAGCTCCGGAACTTTTGTAACATGATACGTCGATGTTTATTGAATTATTTATAAGATTAGGAATGTCAGCTGCAGTTGACCCAAATATTTTAATCCGCTCCTGTGGTTGTATATTATTTAAACAAATAAAACAGTTCGAGTCGTGTTTTAACTTTTTTGGAGTTTCATCCATCCATAAAAAAATACATTCAAGTTAATGATCAAATTGACAAATGTTGCATATAAAAAGCATTTATATTAAACCTGGAATTGATACTGAGAATTTCGCGGGAAAATTTATTAAGATATTATATTACGCTAACTCTGATTGGCTAACGTTAGACAAAGGGAATGGAATGTTGTGCTCGAGTGAGCAGCCGCTCGTGGGGGGGAGAGCGGCTGCGAAGGAGACTATACAAATGTAGACTTCTTCCGTACAAATGTAGATGCCTTCCATGGAAATGTTATACATGCCTTCCATACAAATGTAGACGCCTTCCGTAGAAATTTTATGCATGCCTTCTATACAAATGTAGACGCCTTCCGTAGAAATCTAAAACTAATGCGCGCGCATAGTCCGGTAACTATGGTAACTTCAGTTGCTATATTATGCAAAATGGCGGCATGTAAACAGTGTACGCACGAATTTGCTCTTCCAAAATGCAATTTTTGTCCCAATGGCGGTCATAAAGCAACAAGTAAGATCGTACAAGCAATTGTAGTATATGACAAATGTTTGGTGTGATGTAAATGGACGCTTTACGGAAATCAAAACTCCACATGGGATACTATATAAAATCTATGCTATGGCGCTTGTGATGTTACTCTGAGTGTTATCCACACCGGGCAAGCTTGAAAAATATGCCTGACCACGGTGGAAAATGGAAATCGAACTTCACCTACGACCTTTGGAATACTAGCCCAATACTCTGCCAACTGAGCTACGCGACCCGGATTCTAGTTCCTTCGATATCAATGTAATCTAATAGTATGATTTTTCTGTGTTGGTGTAATTGTACTCAGGTGAATATGTGATATAATACTCAAATAAATGATGCTTGTGATGTTACATATTTTCAAGCTTGCCCGGTGTGTGGATATACACTCAGAGTAATGTCTGTTATTGTTTTTTATACTTGTATCCTAAATGTTTTGGAATCCCGTTATTGGAGATCGAACTAAATAATCTCTGTGTGGTAATTCCAGCCATTGATGTAACCTATTTTGTAATTAATTTTATGTAATATAGTGTATGTTTTGTATTCAATGGCAAAATCTGTAAAATAAAATAAATAAATCTTAAAAAAAATAACATAAGCATATCTCTTCTGTGATAGTATAGATTTATAGTATCCCATGTGGAGTTTTGATTTTCGTGACTAAAAACAACATAGCGTCCATTTAGGGACGGACCATTATTTTTTTGGAGGGGGGGGATGAAAAATTCTTAAAAAAATTGTTTGCAAAGACAAAAAAGTGCAAATAAATTGTTTGCACACATAGAAAAGAGGAAAAAAATAGTTTGCAAGCTAATGAGATTATGCAACATCAACCAAGGTTAATGACAATGAACAGAGTGCTCACCAACATACCCAGGGTCGTCACCCCAAAGCCCTGGGATGGGAGACGCTGGGCACATGTTGCAATCTACATATGGGTTAAATATTAATCTATTGAATACAGTCATTTTTTTTTGGGGGGGGGGTTGTATTTTTTGTATAAAATAGGTAATTGGACAAGTACTGGTGTAAGAATTGTGTAGCGTAAATAATGAGAGGACCAGTATCAGGGCCTTTTTTAACATACAAGCGGTGGGGGGATGTCTGCCTTATGCCCCCCTCACGAAATCACATTTTCCTTTTCATTTCCCTTTTTCCTAAATTTACACAAACAAACCAGCGAAAAATAACAAATTGATAAACAAAAAGTAAGTTTTAGGCTTTATCCTTTCTCCTTGTTTAACAAAATCGATTTAAATTGTTACGTTTTTCTACCTGGCACTAAGTAATGATGATAAATTATTGTTAATAATTTTTTATTTTTTGTTCGTTTTTCCTTCTTTTATTTCAAATACAAGTATACTTAGCATAAATTTTAGAACAATTTTTTTAGCTCAGAATGCAGGAAATGGCATTTCAGGGCTTCAAATTTCAAACATTTTCTGGGGAAATATGCCCCCAGACCACGTGGCCATCAGCCATTCCTATCCTCCTCTAATATATTATCTCACAGAAAGGTCAACCCCCCTCACGCGGGAAAATCTTTAAAAAAGGCCCGGACCAGTATACCAAAAAAACTATTAAATGTCTGTTTACATATTAAATTTATACTTCTGACAACACCACATGTTGTTCGATCACCAGCGCCGTAGCAACCGGGGGGGGGGGCTGCAGCCCCCACAACAATTTGCTAATAATTATTCATTTTTCAAAATCATGCAGACCTTTATCATTTAATTCATGACAAACTGCAAAGAATGAAGATATTACCCATACTTTCCTGCAACTTATCCAATATAAAGTTTAGTACTACAGAATTGTAAATTTCGCTGTTTTCTGACCATCAGAATTCTGTCAAATCTTCCCCAAAGTCCAGGAAATGGCATTTCAGAGACTCTAAATTTAAAAATTTCCTCGGGTCTTCGGTCCCCGCTTTCAGCCCCCCCCCCCCAATCGAAAAGAGCTTCCTACGGCCCTGATCACACATGCAATAGTGTAATCGGGCACAAATTAAACTATATATATATATCAATTTATAATGAAATCCACAGCAATCAGATGGACAAAAAAATTGTTTGCAGAAGGAAGCAGGCGCAAAAAAATTGTTTGCAACGACAACAACACCAAAAAATATTGTTTGCGTTGACGAAATGTCCATCCCCCCCTCCAAAAAAATAATGGTCCGTCCCTTACATCACACCAAACATTTGTCATATACTACAATTGCTTGTACGATCTTACTTGTTGCTTTATGACCGCCATTGGGACAAAAATTGCAATTAGGCAAGGAAACTCAAATAAATCACCACAGCTAGAAAGAGCATACTAAAATTAGTAAAATTACAAAGTTTGGTTGCGAAATGTTGTAAAATGAGGAAAATATAGCCTTGCAAAGTTCGCAAATTTTGTATACTTTTGTATTGCTTGCGGAAATTCCTACCACATTCCTACCACATTTAGGCCGAAAATGGTCGCACGCAATACAAAAGTATACTAGAAAATACATGCATGCAGAAACCCTCGCCTTGCTGACAAAACCGTTGTATTTTCCGAACATGAAGTATCTAAAGTAGTTGTCATGGTAACACGATAATTTTTTAAGAATATTCTTACAAATGAAAATCGCCTAAAAATATCACTTTTAATTACAAATTATCAATTTCCCAAGATATATATGTTAGGTATGTAATTATACGTAATACAAGCTTCAATTTAAGGTAAAATTCAACCACAAACAATTCACAAAACGTTTTAAAGTGTTCTTTATAAA